TTGAACACATAATTAATCATAATAAAAGGTATCTATCCTATTAATTAATTTAGGAAAGTGTTTTGAGGGAGAATTTATGCTATCTATCATTCTTGTTTCTTTAAATCTATTTCATAGTCTTCATTGAAGTGGAGTTAGTAGAAAAATTTAGCTATAAATAAAATGAATAATGTATGACTAAATCCAAGCATGTGGAGATCGTTAATTCCTTCTCTCTTTAGTCCTCGATTGATTTGAGGTTGTTTGTAGCCGATTGGTGGAGATGATGGGTAACGAGTTCAAAAAATTTTACAATGAAAGATGGAAGGCCTAGGAGGAGTTAAAAACCCCACATGTTTTACTACCGGTAATATGTAAAAATAATATCATTATACAACTAACACATGGTTTTTATTGTCTTCCCGACGTGATTATAAGTTTTTTTTTTACTAAGGTATTTGTATCCAATATTCAAGATATGACTAATCTTGTTCCGAGCGTAAGCAAAAGGTTTAACCCTTTCTAACAAGTACGATTTTAGAATTCGAATTTTATATATTGACATAAAATTTACCTAAAGACCAACTCATTTATCATTGGATCAACAACTTATTGGTTGATATATAATATTTTAGTATTGAACTTAATGCTTTTGAATTTATGTAATTAATGTATGTTTTGGGTTGAATACTCTTTTTTTTTTCAATTTCTTTGTTAATTTTTCTTTGCATGTAAATAAGCTTGTAATCATCATTCATAATCGATCAATGAAAATAAAAAAAATAATGAAAAAAGAAAGAAATATAAATTCAAAGAATTATACCCATATTATATGTTTAAGAGTTAACCATAATTTCAATTTATCAAGTTGTCAATTTTTTTAATCAATGACGTCCTTTTTAATTTTTTTTATTTGAATAATCCAAGTTATAATTTTTTCTAATCAAGTGTTTTTGTTAAATTTTTATTAATTTTTTTTGTTATTTGTACACATAGATGTTAATGGAACCTATTTTCCATCCGGCGGCCATATGTGATACACATGACTCGCCATATGTAAATAACCTAAAAAATTAAAGAAAAAAAACAAAAAACAATCAACTCATCAATTTTCTCATCTCTTTATATTCTTTCAGCTCTAATAACTTTGAACAAATGATCATATAAGGGCGTGGAGAGGGAGTCAATTATATAGAATTATTGTGGTCCAATTAGAAGAATGATAAATTTTCAAAAAAGAGACATAAGTTGTCACGATTAGTCGTTAAACCACATCAAAATGAAAAATAAAAAAATCTGCCTCTACATTGTCACTATCTTCTTCGACAAAGAAGGCCAACCATTTGACCCTTTCTCTAAAAAATAATGCCACTACTACCATCTTCTTTGGCCAAACCACCATAAAAAAACATCCCACATCCACCATTTTCCCCATAAGAGGAGGCATTTTTAGCTAAAGAAAGGCTAGAAACCTTAGAGAGAAAAAACTCTTCTCTCTCTAAAATTTGCCGGACCATGCCCTTACCTTTGGCACAATTCTCCATTGTTATCCAAGCCCTCACTACTACCACAAGCTCCTCTATCGTTCTTCTTTAAAACCCAATAGTCATGCCATCTCCCATCTCCTCGCTAATAGCTAGCCAAACATCCTTTCAAAACTCGATTTTTACCATCCATAATTTTTCACTTTGTCCAAGTCCTTGCCATTATCTAACCCATGCTAAACTCACTCGGACCACTCGTCAACACTAGTCACTCGTCATCAATGTAGATGAGGAAGAAGGGATAAATAGTGGAATGGGCAAAAGGGAAAATGATTGAATGGATTTTGGTGGCTGAAATAGATTTGATTTCCGGGTGACTTTTATAGGTATTGGCTAGTGATAGTGGTCGAGAGAAGAAGAAAGGAGAGAGGAGTTGATGTTGTAAGGCAAAAGAAAAGGGGAGACAGGTTGATTTGGTGGGAATAGTAGTTGTGATACGATTTTCTTAGTGGAGATGGCGATTAAAAGAGAGACTAGCGAGTTGTTTCGGTTGGTGGTGAAGATTGTGTTTTTTTGTGGGGTCGTTTGGATGAGAAAGTGAGGAAGGAGAAGGAGAAATGGCCGATAGTGAGAGAGAAGAGCTAAAGTTGTTTTGTAGGAAGAGAGGGAAAAGATAGCTAGGGTTTCTTTGGCAAAAGAAATATATTTTTTTCTTAGGTTTTTTTTAATGTCACTTACATTTGACAACCATATGTCGCACACGTGACTATCACGTCATTGCCACATGTAAAACAAGTTTCATTAACTAGCCACGTGTGCATGTAACATAAAATATTGATGGAAAACTAACGAAAACACTTAATTAGAAAAAAATTCTACTTGAATTAGTCAAACAACAAATATTAAAGAGGACACAATTAAGTATAAAAAAATTAATAATTTAGTAAACCGAAATTATTAGCTATATGTTTAACTATAAAATTTAATAAACTTTCAAGGTTTAATACAATTATTCTAAATATATAGAAGAAACCAACAATTTTTTTTCCCGAGAATGATAAAGCTAACGTATTGTTCATTACTTATTCAACTTGTATTTTTTAATTAACCTAAAATACTCGTTAGCATTAATGTATGATTGAACTATAAGTAATAATTTTTTTTTGTAATGAGTAACACATACTTCTAAAGTGCCTATCCAAGCATAAAAAATGAATTTAATCCAACTTTTGAAAAGATTATTTTCTCATGCAAGAAACTCATTGTAGTCTATATATAGAAATAGAAAAGGAAAAAAAAAAAAAAAGGAACAAGTAGTTCCACGGTAGGAGAAAAAGGGGGCAAAAAAAAGACCGTAAGGGTGACTGAGTAATTTCCAAACGGACAGAGGGCATTGGCGTCATCAGAAAAAATTAACAAGCTCCCCACTGTCCGTTAACCAAAATAAGCGGGAGGAAGAAGCGAAGGGACGAGAAAACGACAATTTTTACGTCACCGTTTTCCATTTTCTCTCCAAACACCATTAAAAAAAATCCTTCTCTTTCTATTTCCCTTAAATTCTTATTTCTGGCTTTCTCGTCTTCTCCCTCACCTCACTCTCTGCGATGGAATCTCCACTTTAAGCATTAACAAACCACAACCTTAATTCCCTTAAATCCTTCTCTTAATTTCTCTCATAAGTTCCTTTTTTTCTTTTTCCTCTTTCTCAGGCAGCTCAAACACAGTAGTATCAGAGTAAGTTTTCCTTTTTTTGTTCTAATTTCTTAAAATGATTCTGTTAACGAAAATTTCTGTACTCTTTTTGTTATTTATTATTTGTAATTTGAAAATAATGCATGCAATATTAATTGTTTGTGTTTCTTGGTTTAATTTCTTACATATTCGTTACATGATTTTCTGCCTTGATATTATTAATTTTTTTTTTTTTCATAACCTCTACTCCTTCAATCTGCACAGCTTTTTTTATCCCTCTCAATTTGGATTTGAATATTTTGAAATATCTTGATATCTGTATGCATGCATGTATTTATCCTTTAATATTGATATACGTATGTGTTGTATTTATGTTCGTGTTTGTTTGCATGTGTATATAATATATATTTTTCTGCAATTTTAGATTTTTCCTTCCTTGCATGGTTAGTGATTTTTTTTCTTCTTCTTTTCTTTTTTTTTTCCTTCTTTTTGAGAAGTTGGTAACAAGATTTGCAGTAATATAGTATTTTATATGGAAAAATATTAGTCTTAAGATTCTAACTATTATTACAAGTTAATTTGATTTAATTTCAGAGAAAATTTTAAAATCTGAATTTGATTTTCAATTGGAACAACAGTCATCTTCCTGTCCTCTTCCCGATCTCGGAGCGAACCCAACATGACTTAGCTACTAAACTAGTTTTTTTTTTTTTTTTTGAACTGGGCTACGAAACTAGTCTTGGGTTTATTGATGAGCCGGTCATTTATTAATTGGCTGGCTTCAAATTAGAAGTGCATAATTGTACAATATGAGGCTGATCAAAGCAAAATATCCAACATTATGGTATTATATGTTGAAATCTAGCTCACAAAACATATCCTGTTTTATTTAGTTTTTACTTCTATTATATATTGATCAATAATCAGTTTAACCAATTTTCTGCTTCGAGTATAATCAACAAGTCACTTTTGGGTAATTTATTGGTTTTTATAAAAAGTTGAATTATATATGCATATACCTATACACATATGTGCTTTGTAACAACGTCAAACGCGCACAAAAAAAGAAAAAAGAAAAAAAAAGGTTCGAAATCACTGTCAATTTCAACTTTTCTGGATTTAATGAACTTCGAGTCAAAATGAATTATCAGAAGTTTAAATTTCTAACTTTTGTTTAAAGCAAAATTTTGACTCCCACCCTAAGTGTGATTTATAGATTAAAGTCAAAGGGTAGTTTCAACCAAACATGCGGATTTTTACAGAGTAAAAAGGTTAAAGAAAAAAATCTTAAATCAAGAAGGAGAAGTCATGCCAAATCGCAACCTAAATTGATGAGCTAAATTCTTGATTGAAGGACACATCTATCCAAGATTTTATCAAGTTTATCAGTGATGGCTCAAGGGATTGTATCTAGAAAATGATTCAGTTTTTGCTCTTTGATTGTTGAAGCTTAAACTTGGTTTCAGGAACTGATTTAGATTCATTTGATGTGATTATGGTTGTTGCTTGTACTCCATGAAAAATGTTGCTGTGATTGTGGTTGTTCCCTGTACTCCATGAACCATGTTGCGATAATGGTTGTTCCCTGTACACCACGAAATGTTCAGTGTCTTCTTTTTTAACGTTATGTCTGTGTGTCACTGACTCTTTACGGATTCATGCCAGCGTTTGTTGGAACCAATTGCAAACACTTTATTGAAACTTTTAATTTATTGTTGAATGTGTTCAGCTGATTTCATGATTATGTGTCTTTTCTATTTGTATGACACTGTAATTACTCGGAATTTCTTGTTTGTATAGGCAAACAGCAGATCAGTAGATTGTTGTTTTTGTTCAGTAAGCAACATGCGGAAAACATTGGACAGCACTGCGACGACTAATTATCCACTCTCATCCCCTTCCAAACCTTGGTGGTGTAGTATGGGGCATAATGCCATCTTCTCAAATGTCTTAGGGGAAAAGGTGAAAAATTTGTCTCTTCAAGATCAAACAACAGATGACGGTTTAGGGACTGAAGCCAGCAAACCACAAGGCAATGGCCAAATGGATGGTGGAACTGTTGCTGATAAAGAACTGAAACTCAATGCAGTGTCTGATTCAGGTGATTGTTGAATTTGTTTAAAAGACCTGAAACTCAATGCAGTGTCTGATTCAGGTGATTGTTGAATTTGTTTAAAAGACCTGCCTTATTGGAATGATAGTAAACGATAGCTTACTCCCTGAAGTTTAAGAACATAATCGACTTTTACATGTCATTCAGTTGATCAATCAGCTTTCTATTATATTAAGGGTGAGATGGAATAGAGTAATGCCTTTAATAGTAACATCACACTTTGCTGGCAATATCAGACTCTAAATGCAACAGCTGATTCTTGCTGTCTGATTTATTTATTATTTATCCATTTTTTTCAATTAATGTGATTGGACTGGTAGCTTATAGAAACAATTGAATTGCTTAACGACAGGGAGCCTTTCCCTGCAGGGAAAGATATATGCTTTGTATTATGATGCTAATAGCGATGTTCCTTCTGTCAGCAGATGGAAAAAGCAGAGAAAATCATCATCCACAGCAAGCTGCATCCATTATGTTTCCAACTATGGGTGTATACCTTGCCCCACCAACCCAGCTGGAACTTGTTGGTCACTCAATTGTAATCTCTCTCTCTCTCTCTCTCATTCTCTCTCATGCATGCACATTATCTGATACTTCAACACATATCCAATGAGCATGTATTAGTACTTGGAACTTGCTTATGCGTGAAAATGAGAAAGCAGATGATAAACTTGCTTTTGTGTCCATGCAATGGCAAATTATACTTCTTCCTTGCTGACAGCTTCGGTTTACTTTTTTTGTTCTTTAGAAGGTTTGCGTGGACAGAATGCTGCTTGTTTAGCTTTCTTGTAGGTTTGAGTTGTATTAGATGGAATACCTAAATAAGTTCTTCTGCTGAAAGTCCAACAAGATGTAAAAGCGTGAACAATAATCTGTGTTGTATATATACTTTAATTGGGAATTTTGGGAAGTCATGCACAAAGCTTTTCCTAAAGAAGACATACTTCTATTTTGTGTTGTCTGGTGGTGTATATTTTACAGTTGATTTGAAGTTTAAGAAATGATGTTTTCTTGATTGGTGCACCATGATCTAAAATATGCTGTAACAAACCTTTGGATTGCTGTAGGTTAATTCTCAATACGCTGGCCCAAATCCTGCTAGAATGGTATTACCCCTTGAAATGGCAGAAGAACCTGTCTATGTGAATGCAAAGCAGTACCATGGCATTCTGAGGCGAAGACAGTCACGTGCTAAAGCTGAGCTGGAAAGGAAACTGATTAAAGCGAGAAAGGTAACTTTTCTGTGGCTATGAAATTGTGAGTTTATCGAGTTAGGAACTTAGGATGTATTTGTCTTATATCATCGCTTATTTTGTCATCTTAGTTGCTTTGCTTGAATTCATTCACTTGATAACTAATATATAGATGAAGCAAAGAATACACGATATGAGACAGTTACATTTATACTGTCTTTCACAATCTCAATTGTTTGTCTAAGAAGAGAGAGTGGCCAGGGATTGCACTTGCATTGTATGGAATTGTTATATGGAATGCATAGAGAGATGAACTGGCTGATTAATGATATTTGTTTTTGTATGTCGTACTTGGTGAACAAGTACGTATGGGGATTTAAGTATTATTCCATGGAAAGGTGACCTTTTATAGGATCATTGATTTGCTGAGACGATTATTGAGGAACTAGAATTGTTTATGTTCGGGTAAAAATGTACGCCAGAGATTCTGTTTCCCAAAGAGATGGAAGAAGTGAAATTGATAGATGTGGGAAGATTGACAATCCAGTACCTTCGGTTTCTGGTAGGTTGGTGCTAGATCTAGATTTGTGGCTAGATAAGTTATGGCCTGGAGGTAAGGATTGCCTAGCTCTCTCTCTCTCTCTCTCTCTCTCCACCTCTCCCATCAGCCCTCTCCTCATTTGGATCATGTCGCATTGTACAATGTGAAACCCTCAACAGGGTTACTTTTATGTATACTGACTTACCTGGCAAGAGAAGTCGGTAATGATTATTTTCTTCCAATAAATTTGTAGGTATATGTTGAAACTATTGTCTTAAGTGTTGAATAAATAAAAACTAAAATCAAATTAGGAGTCTCTAGATTCAGTTTGTTTAACTTCTGTTTTGTATTTCATACTTCATGCTGTATGATTAGCTCCGTGGTATGTTACTCTCTTGGGGCATTAGATATGGTGCATATATGTGATGGTGTGGAGGAGTTGGAGGTGAGTTTGTGGTGAGGGATGGTATGCATGTATTGCAGTGAGGGAAACACTTCATTGTGTTCTTCAATTAGTGTATAACAAGGCAAAGTAAATAAGAAATTAGTTTGCTTCTTGCAACTGAGTGGGTGAGCTGCTAATTTGGTCCATTTGGACTAACCTAAAGTGATCTTTTTTTTGTTGGGGGGGAGGTTCATGAGACTTTGCAGAGGTGGATTGCGGGTACTGAAGCAATGCCTCATATTTTTTTTTTTTGGGTTCTACTGAAAGCTGATGAAATATTTTTATTTGTTCTCATTAATAACTGAATTTTCTGACTTGGACATGGTAGTTGTTCTTTCATGGAAGATTATTATTTATAATTCTTTGGTATATGAATATAGCTCCATATTATGTTTCAACTTCAAGCACTAAGTATTTCCATTTCTTGCTTCAGCCTTATCTTCACGAGTCTCGACATCTACATGCTATGAGAAGAGCAAGAGGCTGTGGAGGTCGTTTTCTCAACACAAAGAAAACAACTGCTACTAAAACTCCACCTTATATGCATACTAATTCCGGTGAAAGTGTTTCAAAAAACAGTATAAACTCATCAAGCTCTGGACCTGCTTCTTCCCAATTTTCCAGAAACACTAATTCTTTGATGAGTAATGGAGAAGCAATAGGGCCTTTGCATCAAATGTACCCGCATCACATGCATTCGAGCAACGGATGCAACCCGCAATTCCCTGGGAATCACTTGTCCAAATTTCATTTGCTTTCAGAAAAGAAGGTGGGAGAAGGGGATCGTAACATGAACAAATTATGGTGAGTGGGGTGGCCTCACAATTGAAACTTCCCCCTTAAGGAGTTAAGGGTCTCTCTCCTGCATTGCCAATTGCATGAAATGAAAGGGCCATTTAGATGGAAGGTGTGGTGAATTCTTCCTAACTCTTGAGAAATCAAAGGTGCTTATCACTTGATTGAATTTTATTTTTCGAACACGCAGCAAGGATTTGTTGGGCATATGTCTTTACCGCTCTATGGTTGCCTCCTTGCATCCTGTTGAAGGTATTTCTTCAATCCTTACAGATTGTTTATAAACCATTCAGCAAAGCAAGGACCCTGACTCACTCAAGGAGGGAGACATGTACATATGTGTATGTAACAGGCAAATCATTCTTGGCTTATTGTTTGTCGCTTTTGCTTTCTTAAGAGGCTGTAGAGGGCTTTTCTAGTTTGGTGTTCTGACATTTCGTTATTGTGAAAAGGTGATGCTTGTAAGCATGGTGTTTTTTGTAGAAAGAAAATGAAGACCTAGCCAGATACTACAACATTGCCAATTTTAGCTTATTCTGTAAAATGGCCTCTTGCTTGAAAGAATTATGAGTCGGTGGTTAACCCTTTCTGCATTTACTGCTATCTTGAGATGATGTATTATTAGCCCAATGAAGTGGCAGACAATGTGTGGAGGCAGAAATATTTGATCAATTTATTCTGGTACTCAAGTTCATGGAAATATTACAAGAGTGTGGTCATGACTTTATCAAGTCTCATTCATGTAAATTATGGAATATCATTTTTTTTTTTTTTCCCCGCTTTAAGACTAGAATTTAGCCTCCAAGCATGATAATTGTTTCGGAATGCATACACACTCTTCCGGAGACACCCTTGCTGCTAAAAAATGAAAAAGTTGTCCCTGGGTATGTGCACTTTGCAATCTTTTGCGCAGCTCAACTGTGTCCTGTGATGGGTTTGTTTTTGGTAAATATGGATTTGGGCTGTAGCTGAGCCCATCAAGAATGTCTTATCATGGATCAAGGGAAATTTGATAGCTGTAGACACTAAATTTCATAATGGAAACCGGGCCTTTAGGCACTTCAGTGATAGACTGACAGAGCCCAGATGACGATTCATTTTTGTTATTTTATGTTGTTGTTTTTGGGAACAAAATTTAATCTGTCTGAGACTCTAGAATGTAATTGAAACGGAATAGGATTTGCTCTGAAAGAACAATTTTTAGACTTTTCTAAAGTAAAAAACGTAAGATACTTTGTTTATAATGCATCCTGGGCCTCAAATCAAAAACTCAAATGGCTTATCAAAGCCGGCAGATCATACAATCAACCATCTGTTCTGAACGTGAGAGGATTGCGAACCCAAAAAGAAATTGCGAAAAGTACCTATCCCATCAGATTACCGCTAACAACTTGCTCCCTGTGTTGCCTCAGTCTGGGTCCCTCCACGAGAGGGAAAAGAAAAAAGAAAGGCAAAGAAACCAACTTGGAAAGATTCAGTTGAAGCAGTTCCCTAGTACAGTCCTGTCACATGGTGTAGGGATACTTCATCCCACAAAAAATTGGCATATCTATGGACCCAACATGTAGAACAATACAAACCTCAAAAGTTTCTAGTTTTTTAATTATATCGTCATATAAATCTAAAGAACGAATTTCATAAGAAGCTTCTTTGCATGGCTTGCCCCACCAGACCAAAAACCAGCAAAGCAATGACCGACAGAGGAACCCTAGGAGGCTAGGACCATGCCGGACCTCCAACAGAAAGATACAGAGTGCAGTTTCATGTCTCTGTCATAAGCTCAGTTGAGGTCCTACCCAAGGCATGCCATTCGCAATCGCAAGCTAGGGACTTATAGTAACCATGCATGCCATGTTATGCCAGTTTGGCAGACCCTTTTAACCGTGACAGCTGCACTGACTCATAATCGATTTCCTCTAGTAGAAATATATTTTAAGAATAGATTGTAATGGAGCAGAACCATTTGTTTGAAAAAGAACATAGCTTAACTGCTTTGCTCATTTTCTAAGCCGCCACTCGCAATTCCAAAGGGCCAGATCCAATTTTCTTTTTTTTCCTTTATTTTTTTTTTTACATAATATATACATACACATCCGTTTGATATCGATTAATATCACAGGCTAATTAAGTAAGAGGCCAAAAGAGTTTTGCCAAGAAAACAATAGATCATTGGTACTAGGTTCCGAATTTGATTTAGGCTAAAATAGTGTAACAACTTCTCAAACTTTAAGTCATTTGAGGTTGTTTTTAAACTTCTTTATTGGTTTTAAAAATCTCTAAACTTCTAATTTTTCAAAATTTAGTCCCTTTAATGATTTTAAGTTATCATCTTCTTTTTTTAAAAAAATCAATTCTTGGTATTTTGAGATAGAATTTAAAATATGCATTGAAAAAAATTCAATCTATCCGATAGAAAAATTTCAGAATTTTTGAAAATAGAAAACTATATTTGTTTTTTTTTTTAGATTAAAAAAATAGAAAATAATTTCAAAATGATCCCAAATCTTTTTAGGAATCCCACATAAGTTTCGCTGAATGATTTTTATAGTAAAACTATTTATGTGATTGTTATTTTTTAAAATAAATGACATAAAATTAAAAAATGGGCTAAAATTTTGAAAAAAATAATAATAAAAGTTTAAAGACCTCGTAAACGAATAAAATAAAAAACTCAACTTCAAATTACTTAAAGTTTAGATATTTTTTTAAAAAAATTAGCCTTTGATTTAATACCATGCTGTCTAAAGAATATAAAAAGGTAGATCTTAAAAATCAACCTTACATGGTTTCACATTCAGTTAATTTTCATGCGAGGTGATTGATTCTTTCCATCAATTTGGTAAAAGATACTGGGAAATTTTTAAGTTGCAAAAACTTGTACTAGGTAACAATTCAAAGAATGGATACCTTTTGCTAGTGGATTTTAAATTGTTCTGAATTCTATTCTCCAAAATAAAAAAGAAAGAATTATTTTTAATTCTAACCTTTTGGTCAAGATGTTGTGCCGATATATCAGAATGAAAGGGTTCTTTATTATTTTTTTGATCACGGTGTCATATCAACTTTATCAAGTTGGTATGGGTAGCGAAAATTCTAGGGAGTTCTGCTAATAAAGGTTGAAGTTTCCTCCAACTCATTCCCTATTCTCTTATCCTCCGTCAAAATAGGTGGTCGTTAAAAGACTTCTTTTAGGTATTTTAATTGCCAGAATATACTGCATGGTGCATACCAAACAAAGTTTCTTCCTTATTCAATGTTAAACAGATTATTCACGTCTGAATTGCAACCATAAACAAATCTTTTCTTATAAATATCATTTTTTAAAATTCGAAATCAAGACGACAATGGTGATGGTCAATAAGGACTACCATGATTTACTATTGTGAATAGTTAGCCGAACAGTTGGCCTGATAGTCATACTGAAGGCACTAGAGAATTTTCTAACAAAAGGAAGTAACTGGTCACTAAAAGTCATGGTAGGAAGCACAATGTCCTCAAGAACTGCCCCAATAAGAATTTCTTTAAGGAGGTCTTACGTTCAACTCATTGGAGAAATGGGGTGGAAATTTTCAAATTTGGCATGGAATAGGATATAGTCTTGCTGCGTAACCCAAGAGCATCATTGGACCTCCATTTGAACTTCAAAAAAAAAAAAAATTGGTAGAAAGCACAAGTGCCGTGATTCTTCTAGCAAAGAAGGTGAGCATTGTGATCATCATGCCAATTGAAAATTTGGGAATGGTAAACCATAAACATCCAAGTATAGCATCTTATTTGAAAATGTTTCTGATACAAATTATCTAGAACAATCGCCTTTTTCTGCAATTTTAAAATTAAAGCTGAAAGGGCCATGTACTACGTAAGAGTATAGACCATCTAGAAAAATAGGAATATTCGGTGTTTTCATTGCCGGTCAATCTTTAATTGCTATATAAGAACCAGTTGAAAATGACACAAGCGAGTGAAGACAAGTGGCATAGCCTCCAAGCCAATCAGAGGTTGCCCATTGTTTTGTTGGTCAGCTTGTAGTGCATTCTTCATGATATTTGAATTCATAAGCATCTTCCAACCCTTCATCTTCAAGCAAACGCAATCTTGAAAAGGCCCCATGAAAGATATGAACCTTTTGAAAAGGCAAATCTTTCCACAAGTGTTCCCATAAATTAAGATTGCGAATTTGATGCGGATATTGATCAAATGCTCAAAAGATGACAACTCGGCGCATAGAATGTAGGCTTAGATACATAACACCAATAAAAACCACTTGACACCAAATAAAAAAGAAAGAAAAGAAAGTCATTTCAATTGTCAGAAACCTATACACTTGCGCAACTGCATTAGCACTTACATAGCTATTGCCTACTCAAAATCTCAAATCTTCTTGGGGAAAATCAACTTAGTTATGATGCGTACCAAGATGATCGTGAATATACTCATTTGCCGACAAATCATAAATCATCTCATTGCCCCTCAAGGGAATAGTAATTGACTAACTGTTCACACATTAATCCAAGTCGTCTCCTTTCTAACACAAGCAAATAAAGAAAAAAGAATGGAAGATATCAAGATATGGGATTATTGTGAAAAATCATGTCTAGAGCTTTGTCACCGTTCACTTTCTTTAAAATATAAAGCAAAGACGACTGGAAATTTTTGAAAGTTGTGAAACCACGTTAGTATCAATGAGGCTGGAGTCATTAGCTCGGTTGATTGATCCCATTCAAGCCGTCTGAAAATGAGTCAATGGCGTACACGTCAAGCCCTCTTGTCCGTCCAGGAGCCCCTCCCTTGAGTGAGGATACATCCAATACTATCCTGCTTTGCACACATCAAGGTAGTTGTAAGTAAATAATCACACCATTCAAGTGTTTGACCACAAGCACAATAACTTGCAAGAGACCATAATGTTGAAATTAAAAATTTTGAAGAAGAAAGATAACGAGGAACTTACAAGTTCTTTGATGCTTTTTCTAGTTCTGGTGTTCCACATTTTATGATAATTTTGTTATCCATTTTCGAAACTGAATGGTCTTCAGGCAGATCAATCCCTTGCGGTGCTGGATCGACAGAGCAAAGATATTAGGCTACATTTTCTAAGACATTAAAAACTGGCATGTTATAAAAAGGCAAATGAAATAAGTACACCATGGATTTACATTTATGACAGATATCTTACCTGATCTTTGGGTGGCTGCAGCAGCTCCATCTAGCCCAAGGAGTTTCTGTACAGATAACACAACCTGAATATAAAGCATTCAAAAGTAAACTCTACAGGGATGCAATGTCAAGCGGCACAGCATTACCTTAAGGCTCACATAACACTCATCCAGATTATCGTTATACAAGAGATGGTCAAAGATGCCTGATGATTTTCCTTGCTCCATCTCTGCTTCTGCATTTCGGAGTCTCTTAAGAATCTGCTCCTCTGTCTCAGTACCTCTGTTGATCAGGTTCAAGTTAGAACCAGTGCAGGAAGATACAAGAATGGTTGGAAATTAATATGAATTTCTGACTCACCTTAAACGCAGGCGTGTCTCAAGCTCCTCCATTGAGGGGGGACAGATAAAGATGAAAATTGCTTCCAGAGAACTAGCCCTCACAGACCTTGCCCCTTGAACATCTATGTCAAGAATGCATCTCTGCAGCCCAAATGAAATACTTTATCAATAAGCTTCCTAGAAAAACATTTCAAGATTGCAGATGAAAGTAATTTGATTTAAGCTGTGGTCTATCTTGTTAGAAAAGGTCCTTCATGTGTCTTCTTAAGACATTCAACAAAAGCAATAAAAATTCACCATCATTTCTTGGTTGGTCCAATACCTAAATACCATTGAACTGCTATGAACCCCTCAATTTGCAACTAGAATAGGCATCCACAATAACCTATAACAAAGTAATAAAGGCTAGTGCACAAAAAACATCTTTAAGAAACAACCCTGTTCGATATCATGTTATAAGTGTCCAGGTGAATGAACCCCATTATTTTATGTGTGTGATTGAAATCGCTGAATGGTGCCAGAAGCATCAACAATCATACCATACACATACCAAGAATGGTAGAGTTAGGAGCTTAGGCTACCCTTTTATTGAATCGGATGCGGTAACTTGGTTAAATTAGTCAATTTTCTAGTCAGAAGATACAGGACATTTAATTGACATGTGATACCATCAGTGGGATTAATCATTCCTAAGCTTCAGAAGGGCTCACCAAAGTTGGATATTGCCATTAGTTAATAATATCCAAAAAAACTCAAAACAACTCATAACCTACAACCATTTGTCATGGCTCCCACAATATATTCATTTCCCGAAGATATATACCTAGAAAAACAAAAAGGAGAAACCGAAATATTCACCTTCCCCGCATCTGTTACCACCTCAACAGCTTCGATACTGGTCCCATACAGATTTCCATGAACAGAAGCATACTCAAGGAATTTCCCATCTTTTATCTCTTTCTCCATAATACTTCGCTCAGTGAAATGGTAATGAACCCCATCTTTCTCCATGCCTCTTGGTGCACGGGTTGTGTGGCTTACAGAAAACCCAAACATAGATGGGAATTCCTTCATGAGCATGGATATTAATGTTCCCTTACCCACTCCAGAAGGACCACTTATGACAACTGGTTTCTCAGCATCGCCCCTTACTCCCTTACTCCAGGCAACAACGTCAGTCCCCCGAATTTTTTTCTGCTCCCTAACAAACCGAGTGTTCACCTGCCAAAATTAAACAAGTTAATCATCTTCAGCAAACACAATTAGGGGATCACGTAAAGGTCCCTTCAATGTATTGACAGTGTTTATCCATTTAGGTTCACACAACATGCAAATCAAGCATGTTGTATTCCAAATAGAATTTCAGATCAGTTTAATTCACACTTTTGGGGAGTGACAAAAATGTCATGAAGGTTGCTGTTTATCATTTGGTGCTGCTTTTCTGTGACTTCAGAATTCGGATATAGCTGGGAACAAAATCTTCATATTTCCCTTATTAAATTTCAAGAAGTTTCTGAAATACCAACCTCGAGGAAGCAAATGCAGTCATCCGGGGTGGAACCCTTCTTAACTATCAAAATACGATCATTCAATAATACAGCTGAGAGGCCTTTACATGATTTAGGTTTTGATCCCAGCACAACAGGAGTTACCCTGAAAAAGGTGAAAATTCTACCACGTTAAGCAATCCCAACTCTAAACTAGAATCCAACGGAGCAACACTCTCTAAAGCAGATCTGTCAGCTCACCAATCGCCAGTAGCTGTATCAAAGATTTGAACTTCAAGGAACAATGTGGACTCATCATCGCCGCCACCAATCACATACTGCCCAAAAAAAAAAAAATCCCAATCAGCTAGATCATTCACAAAATTATCAACAAGAGGGAATAAGGTTGTTTTAGAAGAGAGTCAAATCAGTGCATCGAGCTCTCTTACAGTCTTATCTCCGATGGTTGTGGTGGTTTTGCAGCCTTTGAATTTTGAGCCAAATCCGTTTTCAAATCCATTCTGATTCTCCAGATCATCAACAATGTAAGCTGGGGCTTCTCCCTAATGAACAAAACCGAATCCAAAAATTAGATAACAAAAAATCATCGAATGAATTCACATTTCCAAGTTACTAAATAACAGCATTGCCTCGGGTTGTTTCACATCTCCTTTGACCAATTCTAACCCAATAGAATATAAAAATTAAATATGTAAAAGCTCACCATGGAGAAACTATGTCTCCAATGCAAGATCCTCCTGATCAATAAACATGGAAAGATAAGAGATCAAATAAAAAAGGATCTGTATTTCTTGATCTAGCATCAGAAGTAAACTTCAAGGCACATAAAAGAGCAGACACAATCTAGGCAAAGAACCAAAAAATAGAGCAAAAATTCTAAACTTGACAAAAACAAAAACAAAACTAATTCCAAAAATAAAAACCCAGATGTAATTTAGCAATCCCAATGCCAAAGCAAAAATTAAAACCCCCATGTCTATGCATTATTAAATCACTCATAATGGTTTTTTATTAAAAAAAACCCTCTAAAACCCCATAACTAAAAAATTAAAAAACAAAACAGCTAAAACAATTGAGACAAGAAAAGAGTCAACAACATCAACACTAAAAAAAACCAAAAAACAGTGGTAAATTCAAAACCACCTCAATACAGCAAAAATCTGCGGATCAAGCCATTGATAAGAGCTAAAAAAACCAATGAAGCAAAAGCAAAACAGCCTAAAACAAAGAAAAAACAAAAACAGCATGAGACCCATGATTATACCTGTGTATATAAGCAGAAAAAATTCACCAAGAAACGATCTTTCGAATGTCAAGCTGGTGATGTTTCTCAAGGGAGTCGAGTTTTGTTCTTTATGAAGGGTATGTGGCAGGCTTTTTTGTCAAAGAAGAACGAGCAAAGGATACAAGAAGAAGCTGGAAGACAATTTGCATTTGAGGGGGCTGGTGTTCATATTTGTAGGCGGTTAGAGAGAGAGAGAGAGAGAGAGAGAGAGAGAGAGAGAGGCAGAGGGTGGTGGCTTGGGGGTCGCATTCAATTCACGAAACTAAAAGGCCGGCTCTAATTTTCTGGACTCTTTTTGTAAGGTAATGTAAGGTCCCTATGAAGCTTCTTTTTCAGTTTTTTTTTTTTTTTTTTTTAACACTTTTCTTTTCTTTTCTTTTTTTCAAGAAAAAAATATTTGTCTTCCAATCTAAGAAAAAAATAATGAGGCCAAAATGGAAACTATCACCGGCTTTTGAGGTTGTTGTAGGTTGGGAAATTTGTAGGTGGCCATGATTTTGTTGGTATTTTGATTTTTTGTAGTTAGAAGTTTTTTTTTTTTTTGTTTTTATTTAACTCAAATTTATGCCCAATTTTGGTCTTCTTGATTACTTTTTTTTTTTTAATCGTCATGGATTTCACAAATTATATTGTGTATATTGAGAATAAATTAATAGAATTTTTTTTAAAAAAATCTCCCATGTGAATTCAAAATGATACTCTGAATTATTGGAAAAAAAGGACTAAAAATTCGTTGAGGCTTTCCTAACGTAGAATTTCTAATGTTAGATTATACTTGTCAAACTCAGTTCGATATATGGACTTGAAAGTCCAACGACTCCAGACCTGAGTTCGATATATGGTCTCATTAGTTCTGTAATGAGACCATACAAGCCATTAACCTGATAAAAATATGTTGATTCAATAAGAAATTTTATAATATTCAAGAAATAATTAGTATAAATTTTTTCATAAAAAGAGATAAACATAAAACGGAGAGAAAAAGAAAATTAAAAAAAAATTCAGCCAATGTAGAAATCTTCTTATCATTTTTTATAGATCCGAATGTGATTTTTCTTTTTTATGTGTCTATTTCTCTTCTAAAAATTGGATACATAAAGTAATTACCGTATATATATAATGAGAAATTTTGTCATTTTTTTATAGTTTGATTCAATAAAATGAGAAATTTTATAATACTTAAAGAGTAACTAGTATAAATTACTTTATAAAAAGAGATAGACACAAAGAAGAGAGAGAAAGAAAATTAAAAAAAATTGAGCCAATATATAAATCTTTTTATCATTTTTTTATGAATCCAAATGTGATTTTTTTTAATGTCTATCTCTTTCCTAAAAAATAGATCTATCTATATATATATATATATATTAAATTATTTATTGAGTATTATAAAACTTCTCTAATCAAATTTAGATGATCAGATCATCCACCTATAAAAACGCTAAAAAAACAAATAGACTTTTTTTTCCTTTTTTACATTAAAATGAAAAGAATAAAAATTATGGATCAACCCAATGATCCATACATTGACCCACCAACACAACCATTGAGGCATCTAACTGGATCATGTTTCGGGTGAAATTTAACCACTATGAGTTAGATTTTAGTTGAACGGAGCTGGTAGAGAGATTATGTGAGATATTATTTGGCGACAAAATTTAGAATTACTTCATGAATGACTACCGATAGTTATTCAATTGGTCTATTCTGGATAGAGAGACAAACACGTATGTAAAAGAGAAAATCACATCTAGATAAACTAAAAAATAAAGAATATTTGCATTTAAACTCAAAAATATATTTTAAAATACTCTTTCTTATATCTCTTCACTCTATGTATCTATCTCTCTCAATCTCTCTCATTAAGTAAATATTAGTAATTATTTATGGAATACTCTAAAAAAATCCAAAAAAAAAAAAGATTCAAGACCACATTCGATTGACATCCAGAGGTAAATAGGTCAATTTCCCTTTATATATTATCACAAGTATTATATATACTCTTATTTTTAATTATATTTATTACATTTTTTAATAATATTTAATTTTTTAATATATCTTTTCGATCAATTTTACTGACCATGAATAATTTTTTTAATCAAATTATCCATGATCCAAATGAAAAAAAAAAACAAATCATGTGATTTTAAATGTTTTTTTTCTAATAAGAACCATTTTAGTAAAAAAAAAATGCTCATAGTAGAAGAAAATTAATAAGGATGACATACCCAAGACAAACAATATTCTAAAAACATAATAAATATAATTAAAAATATATAAATAAATTAAAGACTTCTGATATTATATAAAAATAAATTGACATATTTTTCCGATATCCATGTACAACAAAGGAGGGGAAGAATTTTTTTTTTTTTTAAAAAAAAGCTGGTAGAAGTTTAATTGTGACGCAACTAGCAGATAAAAAGAATTATTTGTCCAAAAAATGTTTTTCTTGATAGAAGAGGTTGATCTGTTACGGGGTGGTTAACTGTTTGGAACTGACAGATAACAACTGGAGAGTCCCTATAATAATTCATCTCTACCTTGCACCCTGCATCTTTTTCTTAGTTTTTGGTCGCTGTAACAAATTTCTCGGTACAATATTGAAGAAATTACATGCTCCAAATAGAACAGTGTCAAATACTCCATAAGATATTCATTTAACGACGCGTAACAAAATGCAGTTAATAAGCATGTTAATTGCGTTACCATGAGACTTGTAATATTAATAATTGCCGTTTTTCTTATTTTATGATGTAAATCGAGAAGTATTTTTAAATTAATTTTCAATACCCAAAATAAGGATCAACTTCCTTAACAAAGCAACCATTATATATATATATATATATATATATATATATATATATATATATATATATGCGCGCGCGCGCGCTAGTAATATTGAAATTAAGAAATTAATAAAAATTTTGTTTCTTACAATTTAATTTAAAACTTAAATACTAGTGATTACAATGAAAACACATTTCGTTGGTTAATCACATATAATATTTATATGTTGTAATAGGGTAAAAGGCCAAATTTTTTCTTAATTTTAACTTATTTAAAAAATAGTTTTTAAATTTCTAATTTAGGGTTTGACGTTCCCTAAATTTTATTGGCTTATTATACCATAATAACACAAACTTTATACCTTTTAATTATTTTAGCATGTTCTTTCAAATGTGGATAGATAATACATAAATTAAGTTTTCAATAATCATTTTAGCAAGGGATGCATTTTTCGTTCAAAATTTCGTGTTCAAATGACGTGACGTGACATATGCGATGCCTCTATGAATTACGATCTACATAAAATGACATGTGGCTAAAAAACCAAAATTGAAAATAAACCGGAGACATGTCGCCTTCTAATCCTATTTCAAAAACAAATTCACAATCAATAAAAATCCTAAATCAAATTTTAAAAATTCTCTAATTTTTTTCTCTTCTCTACCCGAAGAATAAGAACTCCTCTCTCCCCAACCTTGAATGTTCAACCAATACCCACTCCTCTCCCTCCAACCGAGACATTAAAATACATGCTTAGGAATGATCCGGGGTATTTGACTAGACAATCGTTTGGTCTAAACTTGTATGAATTGCAGCTCTAGCCGATCTCTTTTCTTTCTTTAAAAGAAAAATATTTGCTCACCATTATTTCTAAAGGGAGATTATAGCAGTTGGTATGCGAAGAAGAGACATAAATGGGAACGAAGTTGGAACCAATTATTGCTTCTTTTGCATCTTCTTCCACCATCAATCAAAAAGATAATGAATATAATCGTTATATTATAGGTGACATATATCCGGGCTACTCGGATCTTGCTTCGTCTTCACATGGTTCGAAGATTTTCTTTCTAAATCATTTTTATTGATGTTAGTCTATATTGTTCCAATCGAAGCAAAATTTTAGCTTTTAAATGTAATTAACTCGACCGTACCTACACGTGTAAGATGTTACGTGAGAAACTGTCATACACTTTCATTCCTTTCTAGTTCAATGCTCATATGTATGTGGGAAAGGAAGCCCTTTCGGTTCACTTATGGAAAAATAGATCTTATTGAAAATAGTATGGTTCGTTGGAACAATTTCAAAAAAAATTCATTCTAATATAAATCTTATTGAACGATTTCATTATGAGGCTATTTATGTGACTATTATTTTTTATAAAAAAATTAAAATATGTACTAGATCTAAAAGAAATAAAATCAAAGTAAGTCAAATTCGAAATTAGAGGTTGGTAAACGGATTTTCAAATAAATTTAAATTCAAAAGAAATTTTACTCATTCAATTGTTGTAGTATACATACAATCATTTATTTTCATATGAGCTAGCATTTTGATCTCTCAAGAATAAAAGAATAATGGTCGGAAGTGATTTAATTTTCTTTAAAGAGTTGCTCACAAAAAAAGAAAGGAA